CCTGCGCCGCCGCCAGCGCGCGCTCATGGTCGCCGACACGCGAGCCGCGCGGGCTCCGCGCCGCCCCGTCCCTTCGGCAGACGGGGCTGTTGATGGGCAGCGAAATTGGATGCGAGCGCTGCCGCCCACGCTGCCTCGCGGAGTGACTTGCAGCGCCCCGGCACGAGATGATTCCCGTGCGTGCGGAGAAACCTGTTGTTCTTTTTCCTGTTTGCGGGAAATTGATGCGACACTTTGTTCGTTTTATTTCATACCAGGATGGTAAAGAGTGATTTATGAATGTGAGGTAACTGAAGTGGAGAAGACATGTTTTCGTAGTAATAGTTTAATGTAAGAAAAATGCAATATCAACGATATGCTTGCCGGTCCGGATGGCCGAGATCGTTTAGGCAGTAGTGCCGTAGCGATCTCGGATCGAAGGATCGCGGATTCGAGTCCCTCCTCGGGCATGGCTGTATTTGTGTTCGTCTTTTCACCCCCTACCATCGCCATATCATGTCATCTTCACAGTTGCCATACCGTTAAATGCAATAGTGGTCGCTAATAACCCAAATATTGATGCGATCTTATATAACAAAAAAAGAAATAAACTATATGTTTCTAGTGCTTTCTTGGTTTTGAAAAAATGTTTGAAATGAATATGTGCTTTTAAGAGGAGAACAAGAACTTACTGTATCATGGACCGTGCGTCATCTATGAAGCTTCACAGTGTTACTCATAGAAATTTATATTCAGGCACTGCACTATTTTCTTGGGATGTTAATTATTACGTTGAAGAGAAGTTACTTTAGTAGTGTATGTTCTCAGGATAATATTTCTCTAAGAAATTCAGAGGAGCTGGTGGGTGATGTCGTGTTTTAATGCTAATTGTAATGTACGGGCGGGTTTTGTATAATTTTCTTTCCAAGCTTCGCAGAAGATGTGAAATTGGGCATCGGATATTGACGTTCCGTGAAGTGAACACAATTTTCCCGTGGAGCGAAGGGGCAGACAGAGCTTCCATTAGGCTGCGTCTTGTCCTAGAAGAGACGGCGGCGGCCGCGACGTGTGACAGCCTCAGCTGCGCGGCGCTAACCAGCCGCGGCGCGGCGTCCTCCGCCCTCGCTCTCAGACGAGCTCCGACTGGCGCCCGGGAGAGCGTTGCTCCCGGGCCCGCGCGCCACTCGTACCAACCTTTCTAAATCAATTTCTGTGATGGAGAATAGGGTAATATGCCCTATATCATATTACCCTATTCTCCATCACAGAAATTGATTCAATCTCACTCGCAATCTCAGTCAGCATGATAGGAAAGGGCACTTATTTAGAAAGAGAATGTGTGGTAATCAGTTTAAAGTCTTAATGTATCAATTTTGAGATAGCAGCACATATTCCAACTTTTCTAAATCAGTTTCTATGGTGGAGAATAGGGTAATATGGACACTCGCAATGTCAAGTCAGCATGACAGGAAAGGGCACTTATTTAGAATGTTGATATGTGGTAACAAGTTGAATTTTACTGTCTTTCATGTATCTATTTTGAGATAGCAGCACCGTTTACAACCTTTCTAATTCAGTTTCTATGATGGAGAATAGGATAATATGGACACTCGCAATGTCATGTCAGCGTGACGGGAAAGTGTGTTTGTTTAGAAAGTGAATACATCGTGTAATAAATGGAAGTTTACTATCTATTTGTACCAATTTTGAGAAAGCAGCAACCCGCCGTGAAATAATTTACAATTTCCGTATATGATGGAGAATACGGTAGTATGAATACACTCATTCTCAGGCAGCTTGACAGGAAAGGGCTCTTATTTAGAAAGTGGATATGTGGTAATCAGTTGAATTTTATTATCTTTCATGTATCATTTTTTGTATAGCAGCACTGATACCAACCTTTCTAAATCAGTTTTTATGATGAATGATCGCAATCTCAGTCAGCGTGACGCGAAAGGGCATTTGTCTAGAAACGGGACACGCAATGTAATCAATTGATTGATTAGTGATTTCGAGTGCGCCAACAACTAAGGCAATTTATCCCGTAAGTATAGTGCATATTTCTTCCTCGTGAGGTGGCAGTGATCTTCCCCCGGTTTATGGCGAGATCCGGCGCCGACCTTTCTGTCGTCTAGTGAGGTTTCCCTGACAAAGTATCTCCCAGCAAAGGACAACCGCCTCAGGGTCAAGCTCTGAGCTCCCGACACATGTGGAAGTGTAATGCATATATGTGTATGTGCATGTAGGGGGTGAGGATGCAAGAAAGAGGAAGGAAAGGTCGCGCGATGTGCGTGGTCCATTTGTTAGGATACTGCTCCAGCATTCGCCTGGTGGTTTGATCAGAGAATCAACGAAAAACTACCGATCAGGATTCTCCTCCAGACAGCAACTAAATTCTACTTATCTATTTAGCTAGTGTCGAAAATCCTGCCACTGACGGCTCTCAAATCTAGAACCTCCCGTTAGAGGCCCTGCAGTGACATGAGGTGTGTCCTGGGCCATCTCCCCCCGTGTGTGTAGTAAATTGAATTGTATTGTTTTTTATTTGTCAATTTTTGAGAAGGTATTTGTTATGTGGAATACCGCTGAACCTCCAAATGTTTGTAAATTCCTTATTACCTTTTGAAATATGTGCCATTAATTCACAATCAGCCACATTGGACTTTTATTATGTAGTTAGTTTACGTGACCTTAACATTTATTTGTTATTGAAGAAAGTAGTGATTTCTTCAAGGGAAATAATGTGAGTGATTAATTGAAGAAAGATTGAATGTCGGATAGATTCATCTTTCTAGGCTCTCCAGTAGCCAGGCTTTAATATCACGGTTTGCTTACTAGTCGATTGTCTTCTGATTGCATTTCTTTTGAATACCGCCGAG